TAGTTACGAAATGCCTACACGAGCGTTTACACAGAAACGAAATAGTAACAACAATAAAGATACAATCATTCCATAATAAGGGCACAATCTACTTGGTTACCACAACCTACAATGGCAAGTGAACTATCTTGCATTTGCTCAACCATCGATATGGTACAACACAACTAATTTCCTAAATGGCCTTCTAAGGCGAGTCAAACCTCTTATAAGCACTGTGATGCATACAAACATTAATGATTTCCAACATTATAACCACATTCCCACTCCAGAACACCATCTCAAGATAGAAAAACTGCAGAGAAGAGAGAAAATGTGCACGCCTCTAGCATTTTGTGCATAAAATGCAGACGAGGACGCAAGGAACAACTCGCAGCCGATGCTGATTGATTCGCCACAAGCAATCCGTCGGGACCTCGATTGCTTCATTGCATCTCTATAATGAAGGTGATTAACCCAGACGGCGGACAATGAACGCAAGGCAGTCATTGCATTTGCATCGGTAGTAAAGGTGATTAACCTAAGACGGCGGACAATGAACGCAAGACAGTCATTGCATCGGTAGTAAAGGTGATTAACCTAAGACAGCGGACAATGAGTGCAAGGCAGTCATTGCATCGGTAGTAAAGGTGATTAACCTAAGACGGCGGACAATGAATGCAAGACAGTCATTGCATCGGTAGTAAAGGTGATTAACCTAAGACAGCGGACAATGAACGCGAGACAGTCATCGCTCTTCTTGGCCCAACTACGACGTGGCTTTGCGACGAGTAAGTGGCTTTTGAATTCGCTTGAGTGCGATCAGAAAAAATACGAGTTTTGCTCTGCGCGAGTTTATGGATTTCGTTGCTCTTCAATTTCGTTTAAAGTCATATAAACCAACAATAACAAAGGAGAAAAAAGTTAAAAGAAGAAATTTATTCCAACATGTAGACGATTGTATCCAATGCGAATTAAGAACGCATAGAGCAACATCTGTCTCTTATACACATCTAGATGTGTATAAGAGACAGGTATAATACTGAGCGATGATAACAATATCATGTAATAATATATAATATAAAATACCTCGCATAATATCATGCTTCAATGATCAAATCATCAAACCACCTCAAAAAAATATCGTTCTTGAATGATCAGTCCACCTCACAAAAAATCATGCTTCAATGATTAGGTCACCATACATAATATTATGTGATAATATTAATATTATATTATGCATTTGTGCTGTTCAAAAAGAGCAAAATTTTTAATTCAATGAAAACGGAAACACAGTTTCTGATTGGTCGTTATTCCGTCTTGGTCAAGGTGCAATGCTGAACATTCGCCTTGGCCAAACCGCAATGCTACATTTCCGCCTTGGTCAAGACAGAATGCCGAACATTCGCCTTAGTCAAGACAATGCCAAATCTTCGCTTTGGTCAAGACAGAAGGCCGAACATTCGCCTTAGTCAAGACAATGCCAAATCTTCGCTTTGGTCAAGACAGAATGCCAAATCTTCGCTTTGGTCAAGACAGAATGCCGAACATTCGCCTTAGTCAAGACAATGCCAAATCTTCGCTTTGGTCAAGACAGAATGCTAAATTTTCGCCTTGATCAAAACAGTTTTCAATTTCAAAAACAATTTTCGCTTTGCTCACTGCTATATAATCTTGGTTAATGCGCAATGCTACATCGCTGTCTGATTAATGCAAGAATGCTATACACGATTTTTTTAAATTGAAACAACGCAAAACCGAACACTAGAGTAGCAAAACAATACAGATGGCGGAATATCAATCAACATTGATGGCGAAATAACATATATTCGTTTGAGATGGCGGAATATCAATCAACATTGATGGCGAAATAACATATATTCGTTTGAGATGGCGGAATATCAATCTATATATATGACGTAATCTCATTTATGCGCGTTTCAGGACCAAGCAATGTCTGCACACTAAAGATTGCATTTGAATAGTCAATCTGCGAAGCGTACAAAAACTAAAACAAACAATAAAGTGGATATTATGGTGTATATTTGGAACTGATGCTATATTTGTCGAGGGGATATTAAAAAATTCAAGTCTGAATTTATAATTAGTTATTATTAAAAATTCTCGAATGTAAAAGGGAGGAAAGTATGATGGGATTAATTAACACTTGCCTTCATCGAGACAAATTATGTGAAATAGTTCTTGTTCGCCCGTATAGACGCTATATATTGGCTTATTAAGACGCGAACATCACGAATAACGTATATACAGAATGATTCGAATCCTAAGTGTCAGGCTATCTTAGCTTGATTAGACAAAATGTATAAAAAAAAGACAATGTACTTCAAATCCATGATAAGCTATGCACTCAATCAAACAAAGGAGAAAATAAGATGAATTAACTCGAAGCAATACGGACAAGACTGAGGCGATTATAGAAGACGCGGGCGACGATCAAAGCTAAAACTGCAAAAACTACAAGCTGCTAAAGCAGGAACATTGCGCACAGGAAGAGGAAGTCGCCAATAAAATAAAGGACAAAAACGGAATATTTTCTACCAAAACGAAGAAAAATGCTTGCAATTGTAGCTTCCAGAAAAAATAAACGATATACATGAGATGTATTTGCAAGCCTAAATGAAGCTGCAATTTTGTGCGACTAAGCGGATGCAGGTCACGGAGCAGCGATGTTGCAGACATGGAGGGTCTGGAGGTGAGGGTAACGTGCCGGTGGAGGGGCCTCTCCATGGAGCCTCCACCTCCACACTCCACCACCATATTGCGCCTCCACCTCCACACTCCACCACCATATTGCGCCTCCACCTCCACACTCCGGACGGGACAGATGTGGTGCAGTGAGCGCTTCTTCTAGGTTTCATAATTTCGAATTTCATCGCAAAACGTCTCATCGTTTACGGTTTCATAATTTCTAAATCTAATTTCATTGGTGGATATCGCTTAGTTTTTTCTTTCATAATTCCAAATTTCACCGGAATACAACACGATTGTTGATTTTTTTTACCTGCCATCTAAATGAAAAAAATTAACGAATGAAAATTCCGCCATCTAAACAAAGAAATTCACTTCCTGATATATTTTAGTGGCTTCAAGTACCATATATATTTTCTCATAACTACAAATGAAGCGTTTAAAGGCGCTGATTTGTGATGGCTGGTGTTTGGAAAAGTTCGGTAAATAGCTTAATGAAGTGGCATGTTAAGTTGCAGAGATAAAATTAAGGACCTCTGTAGAAATCAATTCGAAAATAATAATAATTTATGCCAACAATAATCTCAGGGAATTTACTGAAAGTCGCAGACAACATTTGCTTCACGTATCTATGGTGATTTTCATATACATCAATAGGATAATTCGATTCCCATTTCTCGAATGATTATTAATTCGAATTCACCTGATTTAATTCGACTTAAACTGTGATGTATTTTATACTAGGCTCAATTAGCATCTTACTAGATAGACTTGTCTGTCAGATGATAGATTTTCAAAATCTATAAAAATTTCTACAAATCAAATTAACTTGAAGTTGATGGGTAGAACACAGCTGAACTTATCGAGGTATTTGCTCAACAATGTGTGAGCATATCATTAAGCCCCTAGGCTAAAATCGTAACGTCAGTAGTACGCGATTATTATTACGGTTATATGTCCGTGTCACCGTTTTATTACGCATTTAGACATGTCGCTGATTCTGAACATCGCAGAATTTTCACAGCTCGTTGCGGGTGCCGAACATGCAACTCGCTGCTACCACCATTAAGCTGTGCTTATAACCTCCCGGCCGCCTTGCCGATTTTGACCGGAACTTTTGCTGATAGTTAAAATCGAACCAACAACTCACTGTTGCAATCTTGGTACTCTGAACTGTAACTACTATGTCACCCTGCCTCTAAAATGTGATGGAGTTTAATCAAAGGTGAAATAACTGTATTAATCAATTATTATAATTAAAATTCTGTCCAATCCGTATTTTATCAGGCGTGTATTCATGCACTATTCGTGTTGTCAAAACGCAAACAGATGACGTTGCGACGGAACAAATACATAAAGGCGCAAATAAAGAGGTTAATAAAGCGCAAGAAAAGAGGTTAATAAAGCGCAAGTAAAGAGGTTAATAAAGCGCAAGTAAAGAGGTTAATAAAGCGCAAGTAAAGAGGTTGATAAAGCGCAATAAGTTAAGAGGTTAATAAAGCGCAAGTAAAGAGGATCCTAAAGCCGCAAATAAAACCAAACGAGTCAAGTTTAAATAATTTTTATTCGCGAAAAATTCCAAACAATGCGTGGAGAATCGCCGACTATACTGTTGTGTTTATCAGGCGCAGTACTTAACACGAAATTTGTGGCATTCTTTAAACGGAATATGCAATATTTTTTGCACAAGTTATTACACAGAATTCGCATCACTATTTACATAACAATTTTTACACAGAATTCGCAACACTATTTACATAACAATTTTTACACAGAATTCGCAACACTTTTTACATAACAATTTTTACACAGAATTCGCAACACTTTTTACATAACAATTTTAGCACATAATTCGCAAAACTATTTGCGAAACTAACTAATAATTAACTACTAATTAACTAATTAATTAACTAATTGACTTGGAGGTAATTTTTTCCGTTTTCGTTTTTTACAGTTTTGTACATTTTTTGTTTTATATTTTTTATAAATTTCATTTTTATACATTTTTTATTTATTTTTACGTTTTTTACAGTATTTTTCATTTTATTTTTGTTATTTTGTAACTAGAACGGCTTTTCTAAAATTAAATTGGCAAATCTAAATTTACGCGCAGCAAAATTTGATCATTTAGCTCCTATGCGACGAAGCAAATTACAGAATCAAGTAAAAGGGAAAGTGGACGGCATATCGATAGAGAATACAAGTTATATCACTGATTCGCTAGAAAGGACGTTTGCGATAAAATAATTAATGTAAAAGTTCTAAATCTACGAATAATTTGAAAACTTTAATGTCCTGCTAAAAAAAACAGCAGGCTTTAACATATCGCCGTAAGTACAAGGCTACACAAAATAATCCAATTCAGTGATCTGAAGACGCTGGTTCATCTCCAGCGTCTTCATCTACGTCTTCAGCGGAAGTTTTGTTTTCAATTTCTTCCGAATTATGCGATGTCGAATTTTCACGTACAGATGGACCCTCTTGTTCGCCAAGATTATCTTGTTTGGTTTGTGGCGCTGGTGGTGCAGTGTTTTCAGCACTTATCTTCATGCCTGCAAGTTGACTGTTCAGGTCAAACCTGACACATGGATTCCAATATTTTCGTGGAATATACCCGAAAGGACAATTTTGCGGCATGGGCACCGTAAAGGGATTAATCGGGTGGTTGTTAGGCACTTTATAAATAGGAGAGCCCTCAAACTCGAAGGGGACAAGTGTCGTACCGGCTTGTTGGGAATATAAAGGAATGGAGGGTTGGTTGAGAGGTTGGTTAGTCACCCCTGAAGGCTGATAAGGATGAACAAAATACTGCGAGTTGACAGTCACAGAAGCGATAGTTTCATCGCTTGTTGAATAAGCCAGGGGTGGCCGACCTTGATTGTAGCTGTCAATGGAGGGAGCTGATACATATTGCGGCGCATAAGTGGCCGGAGTAACGTTATATACATCGGCATATTGGTTCAGGTAGACCGGAGGGGTTGAGACCGGCGAAACCATACTGTTCGTACATACTGGGGTGAAGGGCACTACGCTGGACACTGATGAGCTTAAAATAGGATCATTAGAATAATTAGGCGCCGAATTAGCTGCCGGCAGAGGAGCAGCATTAGAGAATGCCGGCGCCAATCCAGGTCCCGGCATATGTGCAGCACTAACACGTGTCGGTGCTACACTTGGTCTAGGCAGAGAAGCAGCACTTGAATATGCCGGTGCAAATCTTGGTGCAGTTAGATGAGCATCACTAGGGTGCGCCGGCGCCATAATTGGTCTAGAGAGATGATTAGCATTAAAATTAGCTGGTGCTACACTCAACCCAGGCACAGCAGCAGCAGCAGCAGCACTCGATAATGTCGGCAGGTACTGGGAGGGAGGAGATCGTGGAAAATATGGAGAAGAGCCGTCGCAGGGAGCCCTGACGCCGGCAGTAGAATACAGCGACTGAGGAGGCATTGTCGACGCCCCACTATTAGGGTGGAAAATGTTCCCCATTCCTGTTGGATTCCCGGGGAATCGATTAGGTGGTGGGACCGAGAAACGCGTGGGTCCGTCGGGGCTACTCAGATGAATATTCTGATGACTTAAACATAGGGACGCTTGATTGTGTGTAGGGCCATTATATCTGGGCTGTTGTGACACGAATTTATTTTCTGAATGTATTGATAAACAGCTAGCAGGACGCGCTACGCTAGCATAAGACCACCCTGCTTCATTACTGGCCTGAATCCCAGCGTTCATGCTTTCAGAAACTCGTCGAGCGGGAAGAACACGAGATACTGCTTGTTGATTAACGAAGTATCTATCACCATTGTTTTCTCTTGAACGGTTCGTTGTGCTGTTATGCACCGGTACGGCGTCAAAATTTGTAGGGCGATTGCTAGCGTTCAGTTGGTTAGTTGAATAGGTCCTAGGACGAGCGCCTCCCCTGGGACCAGACGAAGATCCCCTACCACGACCTGCCTGGGCCCCACGAGACCCACGACCAGTCGGCACCCCACGTGTTCCACGGCCATTATTGTTTGCAGACATTTCACTATTTATTTTTCCAAGTGTTACACTTCGTAGAGATTGGAACACGAATGCAGGAGGTCTTAACCAACTTCTTGGATTGAACACAAATGCAGGAGGAGGTCTTAACCAACTTCTTGGATTGAACACAAATGCAGGAGGAGGTCTTAACCAACTTCTTGGATTGAACACAAATGCAGGAGGTCTTAACCAACTTCTTGGATTGAACACGAATGCAGGAGGTCTTAACCAACTTCTTGGATTGAACACGAATGCAGGAGGTCTTAACCAACTTCTTGGATTGAACACAAATGCGGGAGGTCTTAACCAACTTCTAGGATTGGAACACGAATGCAGGAAGTCTTTTCAAATTTTCCAAGTGTTACACCTCGTATATTGGAACACAAATGCAGGAGGTCTTTTCAAAAGTGTAGAACTTAACCAACTTCGTGGATTGGAACACGATCTCAGCTCGAGAGCTACCGATGCACACAAGGCACAGACGTCACAGTGAATGCCCGAGCGGTGAACAGACGTCCAATTTATGCCTACCAGAGTAGGCATAGGACTTCCCTCCACCGACTACTGGAACCAATTTGAGCCCAGTTTCCGTCACGAGCTCCGCCCTATTTTGACCATCTGACCTGTAATCACAACTCAGCTATCTGAAATTTTAGATTTTGTAAACAAATCTTTCTTACGAAGGGAATGTTAAAAGCTTTTACGTTGCTAAGAGGAACAAAATAATCATGATGGCCTCAAAATGGATCAAAGAGATCGCATCTAAGTTTTTCTTTGATAACAATATTTTCTTTGTGTAATTGGCTGTAAAGGCATATGAATTTTTTTGATAATCTCATACTGGTTTTCAACCGAAAGATAAACACACCGAATAAAGCAATAACAATTAATAGGTCTAGATAATATATGCTGAGAATGCACATACATTTACAGAGACAAAACAAATTTAAATAGCATAAGTGCTTGCTGCTTATCTAACGAGGCATCGATAGTAAATAAGGATAAATTACTTGTGAAGGCAGGAACATGGAATTTTGGAGACTTACGTCACTTCCGGAATGCACGTGGAGGCGATTCTTATTTGATAAAGAATAATTAATATGGGGATGACTAAAGAAGAAAATTGTAAACAATAATTATGTAAATCAATCAATAATTTACAATTATTTACTATACCTGATTAATTATTATTATTATAATTTCGATTAATCAGGTATATAATTATTTGAAATTAATTTTGTAAAATTTACTAATGAATATCTTTATAAATATTTGATAAATAATTATTTGTAATACTGATAAAATTAAAAATAATAATTAGTTCAACAACGAATATACCAGTCAGGCTGTGATAAAAAAAGTGACTCGAAGATGAGTGAGTAGGATGTTCCAGAATACATGCTAAATAACACATACGAGGCGAATTTAAATAAGTAATAAACATGATTTAAACACTGCACCGTGTATTTTTCTTAGCTTGCAGTATTACTGGCATAAAGAATACAAATGAAAGGATGTAAAATATACAGGATATAATATCGTAATAGATACTAAAGATAAAATAAAATAAACCGATATTTATATAGTCAAAGGTTCCAATTTATCAGCGAAATATCCAGACGATCTACAGCTCAACCTGAAAATCGTTGCCCCCCCTACCTCAGCTCGCCCCCCCCCGCCAACCTCAGCCAGCACCTCCCCCCCCTGGTAGCGGCAGAAACCTCCACTTTCTACGCTGGAATGCAGCAGAAGTAACAACAGTAAATATAACAGCACAGCCAGACCTGCACTCGCAACGCTTCCTCCCACACCGCAGCTACGGAAACCTTATATAGACGGACGCTGAACAGCTTCAAGTTCAAAGTTCGTTTGGCGTCAAGTTTATTCTAGGAGTATTCTTTCAAAGTTAGTTTGGCGTCAAGTTTATACTAGTACTGTTCTTTCAAAGTTAATTTGGCTTCAAGTTTATACTGGGACTACAGTATTCTTTCAAAGCTCAGTTGGCGTCAAGTTTACACTAGGACTTTGAAAGTTCGTTTGGCGTTAAGTTTATACTAGGATTATTCTTTCAAAGTTCGTTTGGCGTTAAGTTTATAATAGGACTTAATTTTCTTTCAAAGTTCGTTTGGCGTCAAGTTTATACTAGTACTATTCTTTCAAAGTTCGTTTGCCATCCAGTTTACACTAGCACTATTCTTTCAAAGTTCGTTTGCCGTCAAGTTTGTACCAGAACTATTTAAATTTCTTATGGCATAGTTTGAATCGCGTGTTCTACATGCCTAGCATAGTTTAATTGATTTATAACACTGCAGGCATATGCTGGCGAATATAAACTTCACATTAAAGATCAATCAACCGTCGAAGCCTTGATTTAATGACCAACTCTTGAATTACCGACCATAACGAGCTAAAGAAAATTCAGCATCGTAAATGATGAGTTAAAATTGTTGAGATATGACTACATTCTCATTGAAATATTACCGATTTCGTGCTGAAATCATAGAAAATAGACTGCACACGAGGTTGTAGAGTAACGATGGTAGAACGCGGTCCGTGAATGCAGCTTTGAACGGACAGCGATGGTAGATGCAGCTAGATGGTAGATGCAGCTAGATGGTAGATGCAGCTAGATGGTAGAACGCGGTCCGTGAACCACGGCTTCCGGTGGTTCATTCAGCAAGTCTGCGGCCGTAGTATGATAGCCGCATACATCACTCAACGAAATGATTTGGTCATATTGTCCATATATTGACACAATTTCTTACCCACAGCATGGGCAGAGATCAGACGCAACAGTGATACGCCCATATTGCAGGGTCAAACTGGCCAGGTTGACAGACACGAGGATAAAGAGTGCATTAATTGCCGTTTGGAACAAGTCTCACTAATTTCTCTGAGTGAATATATATTTTACAGTATATAAGGCATGCATGCTGTGTTAATAGATGCTGCAATGAATGTAGTGGTAACATGGACCTGCGAGCGATGCCAACCGGACAAAGTATCGCAGTAGTGAGCATTGCAATATCGTTTATATAGCGACATATATTATATAATCTAATATTTCGAACAAAAAATGAATGTAAAGGAAGAAACGCAATTATGTGGAGTGGAGAAAAGAAGTAAAAAAAATTCAGTTTTAAACATAATCACGACGATACAGCAAAGTTTGTTGAAATAATAAATAAAAAATGCGAAATACAATCAGTCTAAATACGACTATATTTCAGCCAGGCATTCAACTGATCAACTTGCATACTGTAATTTACTATGTAACAATATAACGAGGTTCAAAGCTAAACAACCTCTATTAATAATATATTAATGTTGATATTACGACGGTCCATTAAATTCTATTATAATCCCATTGGTCAAACCCAGACACTTCCTGAATTCATGTTAATGATTAAAATACAAAGACCATAAACAAACTACTCAAGTTTAACTAAGACAACGGTGTGTTAAAATTATTAAAGCTTTAAGAGAAATTATTTTCAAGGAATACGATCAGGGGCCATACTTTCAAAACTCGCTAAGTGAACGTAAGTACTTACGCCCTATTTTCTTGTCTATGATTGGTGGATTTTGCTCGAAAGGCAAAATCCATATATAGTGAATATCAATGAGACGGCGGCGCTGCTTAACGCAGTCGCATTTATATACGAGAACACAAGACAACTGCACACCTCGGCGACCTCAGCCGGATGTGGTGGCTGGTAAGTGGACCGCAGCAGCCATTGCATGCAGCCATGACAGCAGACATTGCATGGCATGCAGCAGCGTCTGCTTAGACATTGCACGCAGCCATGGCAGCAGCCATTGCATGTAGCAGCGTCTGCTTAGACATTGCATGCAGCCATGGCAGCAGCCATTGCATGTAGCAGCGTCTGCTTAGACATTGCATGCAGCCGCGACGGCTTAGACATTGCATGCAGCCGCGACTGCTTAGACATTGCATGCAGCCGCGACAGCAGCCATTGCACGCAGCAGCGACTACTTAGACATTGCACGCAGCAGCGTCTGCTTAGACATTGCACGCAGCAGCGTCTGCTTAGACATTGCACGCAGCAGCGTCTGCTTAGACATTGCATGCAGCCGCGACAGCCGTTGCATGCATTCGTCACCGTCTGCTCTGAGAGGTGTTATTTGAGTGTTCTTATCTTATCTTAGTGTTCTTGTTTAATGTGATTAAAGCAATGTATAGGTCAGCGATCGATAAAACACCTTCATACATCTCGAGTAATGTGCTTCAACCATTCCTAATAAATGTAACTAAGGCAAGTTTAACTTTATGACATATTACATGTATGCCTTTGTAACAATACATAATCAATAACATAATCATAAACAGCTGCAATATTTAGCAATTAATTCTATCGCTAATATCAAGCCTACGATAAAAGAACAAGATCAACGACCTGCACATCACCTCGCTTATTGTTAACGTGTAATGCTACAATAGGTCAGTCAATATAATAAGTAATAAGACACTCAATGCAACAAGTGCTAATAATCAATACAAGTCAATATAATCAGTAAATAATAAGTGAAATGTTTCATGACACACACACCAGCCGAGGACGAGGATGCACTGTGAACGCTCTATAAGTCTCAAAATCACTTGACTGCTTAAATCGCAAGTTTATCAAAAATTTAAAAGCTCTATAAGTCATGTTATACATGCACGTGACTTTCCGATATATAATAACAATATGGGATCTTTTTTTTACCTACTGCAGATAATTAACATTCAGAATAATGTAACTTGAAGCTAGACATTGCACTGTTTTTATTGAGAGTATCTACAAAATTTTATAATCACAGAATCGTCTACATATACAAGCTCTGAAGATCGAAATTATCGCGGGAATATCCGAGCAAATTAATGACTATGTGCCGAATGTACTGTACTATTGTGCCTCTAGTCCATCCTGCACGCAACTAGTATATTCCATCAGCTAACCAACTTGACTGATTCTTATTCATTCAATATAACTATGAATCAAGCAATTAATCAAGTAAGCACGTAATTAAACAAACAAACAAGCAATCAAAATAACTAAAATGCAAACAAACATGCAAAGAATCAAACAAGCATGCAAGCTAGCAAACTATCAGAAAGCGTGCCAGCATTCAATTAAACGAGCAAGCAATCA